AAATATCCATCCCGTATTTTTGAAAACACATTGGCATACTAAATATTATTATTTAGAATGCTGTTCAGATGACAGTTAGGATTATACCTATAAGCCCAGTCAAGACTGCAGATCATTTTCACTATGCACTGTACAGAGATGAGCTTTTTAGATTAATCTGAATCATTAGAAGTACATTATTGTACTTCTACATTTTCAGACAGTCCGTAGGAAGACTGAGCTTGTTCTGATTTGGTTCACCGTTTTCAAGGCCAGGTTGGATGGAGCTTTGGGCATTCTGGTCTAGTGGAAGGTGGCCCTGCAAGTGGCAGGGAGGTTGGAACTAGATGATGTTTAAAGTCCCTTCTGACACAAACCGTTCTATGATTCCATGATTTTTATCCCATTTAAATCCCGAATCTTACTGAAATCAGTGATGCTGCCATGTTGTAAAGGAAGTAAGAGTCCAGAACCAAAGTTTCATGAAGAAGAACATACCCAGGCTCACGCTACAAGATATGGCAATTTGCTCTTTCTCAAAATGACTTTCCACTGACTTCCCATTGAACTCCAACATATTCTGTACATGCAAGAGAAGTAATCTGCTTACTCTCTTTATTCTAGGTCACACTTGAATGAGTCTAACAGATCACTTATCTGAATGAACCATGAAATGAGCTAATCATGTAATCAGATATAGTGTCCATCTAAAGGGTTGTAATCCTAATACCATTTTATTTAAAATCTTGGGATAGACTGAGATACGTTTAACAATCTGACATTCAGGACCATTCCACTCCTTAATTATCTAAATTATTACTCTAAAAAAGAATGTGTGTAGAAGAGTACGATTACAAATAGATGTTATATAAAAACATTAGATATTCATATATATTAGTTTATATCCAAATATAAATTCAACTCTAAATATAACAAATCTGTTAATTTATAAAGACAAATTTCCTATTTTCCTTGACCAAGGATGAAAGATTTAGACTGCAATTAATTAATACACATAAAATGTCTCACTTCCTTAGCTTAAATGCACAGAGTACAGAGAAACAGATCCAGGTACAGCACATGGAATTGTGTCATCCCACATGATGAAGAGATAAATATTTCCCATTCCTGTCTTGTAAAATTATATGGTGCTATTTTTCAAATCAATGATTTATTTCTCTGCCCCTTGAAAGTCTGGACCAGGCAATACTGAATGCCACCCTATATTGTTAATAGAGAATATATATAGATAAAGTATACATCTAGACTACCTTAGACATGAGCAGGAGGAGAACCTAGAGCACACTTGCTGCTTTCCATTGTGGCTGGCACTTGGATACAAAACCTAAACACACTAATTATGTTCGTCATTTTGACATAGCTATCAAGGTCAAAATAAATGCAAACAGATCATTTTCACTAATTTAATGTTAGTTCTCATTTACCATATGATTATAAAACTTTCAAAGTGCTCTTTTGGTCCAAACCAACATCCATCAAGTGCTGCTAAAGAATAAATTACATGGCTTAACTCTTCTTTCAGAACTGCCTTATTAGGAACACTTATCACAAAATCAGATGGAAGAGAGGGACAATCATGATGAAACAAAAAAAAAAAAGGAAAGACATCAGAAAATATCACTGTTCTTGTGTTACAAATACATATAAAGCATCTTAAGAAAGTAGTCCCAAAAGAATACATTTTTTCTGTTGTTTTTTAAAAATAAAATATTCTCCTATATTTGCTTCTTAAACAGAAATAAAATCCAAATTCTATGTATGCAACTGACCTATTCAGTAGCAAAAGATAAAGCTTGTACTTACACTCAGGTTTTTGGCTTTAGAAGTAACACTAAGATTTTGAAGTGTTCTACAAAATAGAAGTTCTTCACATGATCTCCTTCAGAAATCCTGATCTTTTGGAAAAAAAGTATGTATACATCTGGTAATTAAAATTGATGAGATTCATCTCAGTTCCACCAAGGTTCAACCAGTCAAAACCAGCAAGATTCAGTGAAATCCCAAATAAAACACGAATCACATCAGTACAATTCGACAATAGCAGGATTCTAACAGAATGCAAAACCATTTTGAGTATTTGAATACAGGTAAACCCAGGTCAACTTTTCCACAAAGCTGAAAGAATGAAGCTGGCAGGAGTCCTATCAGGATGAAGGTGGTGAGGCCCTGGCACAGGTTGCCCAGAGAAGCTGTGGCTGCCCCATCCCTGGCAGTGTTCAAGGCCAGGTTGGATGGGGCTTGGAGCAACCTGGTCAAGTGGAAGGTGTCCCTATTTCTGTAAAAAAACACCACACATTTTCTGTAAAAATCATCAACCTAATCTGAAGGATGCTGGAGAAGGAATCTTCATCAGGGACTGTAGCAATAGGACAAGGGGTAATGACTTCAAACTAAAACAGGGGAAGTTCAGGCTGGATATAAGGAAGAAGTTCTTTACTATGAGAGTGGTGAGGTACTGGAACAGGTTGCCAAAAGAAGTGATAAATGCTCCATCACTGGCAGTGATCAAGTCCAGTTGGACAGAGCCTTGGGCGACATGGTTTACTGTGAGGTGTCCTTGCCTACAGAAGTGGGGTTGGACCGAGATGATCTTAAGGTCCTTTCCAACTCTAACTATTCTATGACTCTAACAAAACTAATTTATTTATCTAACAGTCTTGAAATATTTATCTATTAACTTAGAACAGTTATATTAATTCTCAGATAGTAACTAACTGGTTCTCGGCTAAACAACCACAGGCTAACTATGACTGCATGCAATAAACACACCTCAATTCTTCTGGGAAAGCTATTCAGACAAGGAAGCAAAGCATACCAGGACACTAACATAGTAAGTGTAATCTTAGATATATACCCAGTTAAACTCTGGATGCTAAGTACAAAACGAATCTTGGTGTATTCAGGAATAGCTCCTTCCTGAAGTATTGAGATACCATTACAATTCCCAGTCAAGTGGATTCTTAGCAATAATTGGTTATTTTTTTGCATTGGCTAAACTGTCACAAAAGCCCTGTTTCTCTTCCCTTGGGATCCTGAAAAACTGAGAGAAGATAGGTAGATGGGATACAACCAAAATATATACTAATCCATTACAGAAAATTAACCTCTCCTTCTTCGAGAGCTTACTTCTATTCATATTCACACAGGGCATGACTTCAATAACACAGTTCCCTATACAGACATATATAAGCACACTTTGGAGTCTTCATGCAGTAACAATGACCACTCTGTCTTAATTTGGTAAAAATGTAGATGGAGTACTGAGTAATCTCTTGTAATCTCCATTATAAATGACTTGCACGACAAATACACTTCAGTGATGTAAAGGTCTGGTGCATGTGTCTAACCAAATATGGCAGGCCTAAACACATACTCTGTAATATGTCATAAAATGCTTTTCCTGAACTTTTTTATTGAAAAAGGAATTATATCAGAGGTCTAAAACATCTGTACAACCTAGAAGATGACCCATGATTGCTTGTCTCCTTCTTGGGTTGTTTAGAGGGAACAAGATCTATTCATCTCATCAACCCCGTTGACAGCAGGTAATGTCAAGCAAATAAGTTATTCAGTTAGTTGTCATGTTTGGCAAGTCTGCAAGATTGCAGGGCATAAAAAAAAAAACCAACCCAAACCAGAGTATTTTATTATATCTTGTGGTTGCAGCGAAATTTAAAACTTTGGTTAATATTTAACCAAACCACTTTTACTGAGATCAGGGAAGGAAGACTTACCTTTCTGTAACTGTTTACACGAGCTCTTGACTTCTTTACAATAAAATTAAATACAATGTCTGCTTTCAGAAGTTATTGCCATATTCTTACCTACACCCCTCAGCAAGCTTCTGCTAAAGAGACCTGCATTTTGGACTAGAAATTCTATCCTACCCTTTATATGATATTAATCTAGCATTTGTGAGTGGAAAAACAGAGAGGTAAAATTATGTAAAAATAATTCATTCCAAATACATATCAAATGCCACTAATAAACCAAATATTTAGTGCCCTTTATAAAAGATGTGAACAGTTTTGACACTGGAAATTCTGACACTAGGAATATTACATCTTCACATATTCTTATTTTCGCTTGTTTCTCACTTCTGACATCAGTTCCAACTATTTCCTTGATATTTATGGTCCTCACGTACTACTGCAAAATTTTTACGTAGACAAATTTCCCAAATTCAGAATAATTTTCTTTACACAAAAATCCCTCCAAAAATGGACAATTTCTTCCTGATTTTTAGGCGCTCAGATCTAGTTTGGTGGGCCTTGTTTGTTTTTTTCCCTATAATGACTTCTTTGCTGATGTAGATATTCTGAGGTAAGCAAGGATATATGCCACATAAACATCAGATCAGAAGAAAATGACCCCAATTTATGACACTGGAGACAGACTGCTTTCCCATTTTTATCAGCTGAGAAAATTAAATAAAGAATTCGTTTGGCTGCTCTGAACAATGGATTTGCAATTTGCATAGAAAAAATGATGGCAAAACCTCATAACCCATCAGTGTTTTACCACAAGTTCAGTTCTATTACAATTTAGTGGAGGTTCAAAGTTGTGTAAAGAAACCATTTTCTTTTTCCTCCAACCATAAATGTGTCACTTGAGAGTTCAACTTCCAATAGGAGCAGAATCTGACACACAACTAATTTTAGAATATAAAGCGCTCCTCACCATACTGGAATACATATAATTTAAAATAACTGTAAACCTAAACGTTGCAAAAACAGAAAATTCAAACACTAACAAAAAAGCATAATTTATAATTGAAAGAAAATAATATTTAAAAGAAAACAAAAACTTTTTTGTCTTTCCAAAAAGAGACAGAAATTACTAAGTTTTATTTCCCAAGAGAATTATGCCACTTTTATAAAGAAAATTACAGTTACCACAAATTGCTCTCAACAATTCCAAAGCTTCTTCATTTGACCACTTGAAAATCAAAGTTCTTTAAGATTATAAATATAACTTTTTATAACTCTGTTATTACGTACTGTGAATGGGGAAAGGGGGCCAATCTTGTGGCCATAGCGTCGAATGGCCTCTCTGATGTGGCTGGGCTGGATGGCATCGCTTTGAGCCTCTATACCACAGGCTGCAGTGCTCTGCAACAGAAAAACACATAAATTGTTACTAAATCAAAAACACACAACAGACCTACAGTGCATAAAGTATGAAAATAAACCCTTATAAAATAGACCAATTCTTTTTTCCTGAGGATACACATCATTGCTGCCACACACTACATTAGAGAAAAAAAGCTATTAACAAATCAAAAAGGACTTTTACATGAACTTTGCTTAAGAGACCCAAAGAACACCATATTTGTCCTCTTAAATCTTTCAACTACTGCTGCTGTAGGTTGCAATTGAAAAGAGCAGAAAATGTTCAAACTAAAATGAAAGGGTCAATTAAGTCATACTGCAATAACCACAGAAACTAATTTTAAAACTTTTCAGGCTCTCATTATGATGTCAAGGGGTGGGGAAAATATTGAACAAGTACCTGAAGTGGAAAGCAATTTGACACCAAAATCATCATTGAGTAATATCAGATTGAAATTTGAAGCTGAAACATAGATGTGATATAATGGTGTAAGAGGGATGAAAAAATATTCTAATTACCTCAAACTGGAATGTTTTCAAATGTGAAATGACTTTTTAGATTAAGGATACTAAATCGGAAAAATAAGAATTCATTGCTACTGTCCACTGATTTTACAAAAACATCCCCAGGATTTCAAAAGAAAAAGTTACTCTTGTCTCCTTGCTAGTCAAACTGAAATGTTGGGTTAGGCTCCATAGATATATGGCTGCTTGCCAGAATTCAGATGACTTATCAGAATGATGGCTGCTTGGTAATAAATTAATGAAAATTATATTAGTGAATGCAGTAAGAATGAGAAAACCTTAAACTATACACTGAAGTTTAATGTATACACATACAGGGTCCCCTCATACATTTACACTACATGCTAATGCTTTCCAACTTGGGATATTTTTAGACTCAACTTTTTATTTTCAAGAGTGCTGAGTCCACTGGAGCCTGTGTGTGTATACACAGAATTATTCATAATATGATGGCAGATTCTTGCCTTGCTGATTGACATAAAGGGAATATGAAACTCAAATATTTTCTACTGGACTGAGTCTTCAGGGACTAAGAATAACATTCTTCACCAATTTGTTTGTCTGAATGCTTCAGTTATATCTAGTATGTACACAACCAAATTGTCATGGGAATATTTCATTAAAAGTGTGCACTTTTTAGACTATATTGTAAAAGGCGTTAAGTAAGACACTATGAACTTAAAATTAACTCACAACACTAGTGAAATTTAATGTAGCAAAAACTACATCTCCAGCTAAACTCTTGTTCCTAGGAATTATAATGGAAATCAGCCACGAACCAAAACATAACCAAGCATAGAAAAGGAATAGGAAAAAAGCAAAAGTCTTCAGAGAGGTTTTTAGGATTCACTAAAGGCTTTCTAAACGGATTAAAATAAGAGCAGAGAGAAAGTTGAACATATGAGGAGTATCTACAGCACTGATGACATCAGAAGGGGAAAATATGTATTTTTCTATTTGTCGTCGTAAAAATCACTGGTTCAACTCTGCGAAAAATGAGTATTTGTTTTAGGAGAATAATATTGCACATGAGAAAATCACAAGTCACACTACTGCTTTGCAGCAAAGTGAGTACTGCCATGATACATTATGCAGAGTAGCCCTGCATGAAGGACTTGGGGGCGTTGATCGATGAGAAACTTCACATGAGATGGCTTCAGTGTGCATTTGCAGCCCAGAAAAAACACTATCCTGGGCAGCATCAACTCCCAAAAAAAAAGGTATAACACAAATCACTACTGGAAGTTCAAAGGAGGTGATGCAGTGCCCTTCCGGCTAACTCCCAGTTAATCCTTCTCTCAAGAAATCTAACTTAAAGTACTGTGTGCAGTTCTGGTGTCCCCAATATAAGAAGGGCTGGAGCTGCTGGAGCAAGTGCAGAGGAAGGCCACAAGGATGATCAGGGGACTGAAGCACCTCCTGTATGAAGACAGGCTGAGAAAGTTGGAGCTGTTCAGCCTGGAGAAGAGAAGGCTGCGTGGAGATCTCAGCAGCCTTCCAGTATCTGAAGGGGGCCTACAAGGATGCCAGAGAGAGACTCCTCATCAGGGACGATAGTGACAGGACAAGGGGTAATGGGTTTAAGTTTAAACAGAGGAAGTTCAGATTAGATATAAGGAAGAAGTTCTTTATTGTGAGGCACTGGAACAGGTTGCCTAAAGTAGCGATAAATGCTCCATCCCTGACAGTGTTCAAGGCCAGGTTGGATAGAGCCATGGGCAATATGGTCTGGGCTGAGGTGTCCCTGCCCATGGCAGGGGGGTTGGAACAAGATGATCTTAAGGTCCTTTCCAACCCCCACTATTCTATGATTCTATTATTCTATGGCAGGGGAATGGGTTGAGATAAGAACAGTTTAGTAACTAACACAGATCACTACTGCTACCACCAATGATAATAATGATAAAGGAAATAACAAGGGAAGAGAATACATATCTCAGGTCCTTGCAGTCTCCCAGCCCTTCCGGCTAACTCCCAGTTGCATCCTGGTCATGACGTGCTGTGGTATGGAATACCTCTTTGGTCAGTTTGGGTCAGGTGTCCTGTCTCTGCTTCCTCCTGGCTTCCCCTCCTCCCTGGCAGAGCATGAGGCTCACAAAGTCCTTGCAAACCTAAACATCACTATCAGCTCTGTTTCCAAGCTGAAAGTCAAAACACAGCACTGCACCAGCTACCAAGAAGGGGAAAAATGACTGCTACTGCTGAACCCAGGACAGATACGTTTGCAAAAAACGACGAAGTGACTAACACAGTTTTTCCTATCCAGGTTATTTAATCAATTCTATTTCTTGTGTGGTTCTAAGGTACATATATCCCTCTCAGATAAACTACCAAGGCTCTACAACAGAAAACAGGAATTATAGTGTTTGCATTTCACACTCTGAATATAAGACATCTATATTTTATGCAAAGTAAAGAAATATTTAGATTGAATGCAACCAACTGGCAGAAAGATAAAGCAGGTAAAGCAAAGTTGTCATAGGCAGAGAAGGCAGTCACCTAAGGCTGCTAGGAGCAGGAAAACCACAACAATCTCTTTGCCTACTTTGCTTATGCTTTGACCCTCAAAACCTATGCTAGCTGCTACTGTCAGAGAAGGGGTGATTATCTGGGGTCGCGTCTACCACTGCAGCTCTAAATGAGCAGCTCATCTCAGAAGCAGCAGTTGCTACCTCAACAAAATACATTTGCCAGCGTTATCGAGAAGCTTTAGCATAGTTCTGATGGAAAAACCACCAAACCACACATCTGGCTTGAGAATAACATTGGTAATCAATATGTGGTAAAGGTTAAAATTAGTATTTAAAACGAGACATGCTACTTCTTGAAGACGTGTTAATTTCTTTTTCTATTTTTTTTTTCCCAGACTTGTGCACCAAATACCTTTTTTCTTTTCCTTTGTTTGGATTTGGTAGAGTCCTGTCCAATTCCACCATTTCCCAGGGCTCCTGATGGGGTTTTTCCAAGGTATTGCTGTCCTGCTGATGCTGGGGGTGTGGGTGTAGGAGGTGGTGTGTTTTCAGGAGAGTCAAGACTTGTCTTCACACTTGTAGATTGCCCTAAGAGATGTGGCTATAAAAGCAAGATGTCAAACGGTCATTATAAAATCAAATCACAAAAAAAACAACCAACCAACCAACCAACCAAACCCAATTTATTGCCTACTTAGATTTACACTTGGAAGAGATGTAATACAGAATTCACTTTGCTCATTCTAGAGGTTACTATAATACATGTATCGTAGCAATGCATGCAATGCAGCACTTATTGCACTTGTCACTGTTGAAAACTTTAATCTCCAAAGCTACAACAGAGAGCACCATCAATACAGAGAAGGAATTTCCACCCAAGAAAAGAGGATTTAGGTTTAAATATAAAGATGCTGCTAAGAATTTAATATTTGGAGCTATAATTTAATGTCTTTCTGTCAAAATCCATAACTTCATAGAATCATAGTATAGTACAGGTTGGAAGGGACCACGTTGCTCAAAGTCCCATCCAACCTGGCCTTGAACACTTCCAAGGATGTTCATAAACTGCATAACAGAAGTCTTCATCAACACTAGATTCAAGAACAGCTACTCTGAAAGCAACAAACTACCATATACATGTAAAATTAAAACATAAAATGCATTAGTATGTGAAAAAGCAAGATTTACCTCAGCAGAATTGTGATACTGTATGAAAGTGGCAGATATGGCATGACTGAACGGGTCACCAGCTTTGGGAGCCATGTCCTGCTTAACCAGAAGGGCCAAGTCCACCAACTGGAGGGGCAAGAACAGGTTTTCTGACATAGTACTTACTATAAATGCCATGGTAACAAAGAAGTGAGAGGGAGTCGTGAGTTGAGGCCAATTATTCTTAGTGTTTCTCAGTTGAAAACAAACTTTTCAGAGATATATCACCCTAAGAAACCTTTTTGTTCCACTTTTGTAAATATATGGAGTAATCTATCTACCCAAGAGGGCTTAGCTTGGCACTAAGGTAAAATTTGTTTTCCAGGAAATCCTTCTTTTTAATCCAATTGTGCAATGGGGTTGAATGAGCCTCAGCACACTGCCAAAGGTCACATAGCAAACTATGTGGTTTCAGTTTGGACTTGAATAAAGTTCGTGCTGGACTCCACTCTCCTCTGTAACCATTATAAAACACTTCTATTTGTGTATCAGATGGATGAATTCAGTGTAGTATGCATCTGTCACACTGTAAATTGAAAGACAGACAGGAATCCAGTTACCTTGGTTAGCTGAAGTAGTGACTACATGCTTCTGAAGGGGCTTACAACACAATTACCTGAGGCTGAAGTACACCCAAGAGTAACTAATTTTGTTTGCTCAATGAGTATACGCTCTTACCTGTGCCACAGTCTCATATGCTAAATATGCCAAAATTTCCATTGCAACTGCATTTGGCTTTATTTCCATACTGCTACAGTCCAACCAGTCACGAAACTTGGATGCTTTCTTTGCTGTCAGTTAAAATCATAAGGGGAGAAGGAAAAGTTAACAACAGGAAGGCCAAAAGAATGCATTCTTGTGGGTCACAGAAAATAACACAGACGTGAAACCAGGAGTGTTAACATGAATTATCAAAATGGAACTAGTAGGGAAGAACATATTTAATACAAAACATTTTGGTGACCCATAAGCAGCACGGATAAATATACACTATTAATCAATCATACAGGAGATTTCAGAACAAGGGAGGATCTACCTCAAAAGACTGCAGACAGGAGAAACCTAAAACAATTGCATCACATCTTTGATGAATAAAAGAAATCACTAGAATAAATCAATGCAAATATGAGTCTGGATAAAATGATACAATAGTGAAGACAAATGAAGAAGGACAGAACTGGGATAAGGTGTTGACAAGCCAGCCAATATGATTTGTAGATGAGTGCTTTTAAAATCTGCCTTAGATATAAGAAATAAGGATAGATGTAGATCTGCAAATGAACAACATTCATATGAGAACTTCACACTGCTAACAGATGAATTAACTTAGGAGGAAGTACAGAGAAAAATATAACACAAAGAACCATGACATTTGCTAAGAGAGTTAAAGGAGGAAAAAAAGGATGATCTTACTTAGGTCAGTGGTGGACAAGCTGATCACAGAAATCTGTAGAGATTTAGACAGAAAGGAGCTAGTAATATAGAAGTCTTAATGAGGGTTGTTTGTGAAGGCAGGACAACCCAAATAGAGTAGATAAAACGTGGAAGAATCATTTGAAACGTTCTTTTCAAATAGTCTTCAACAAGGACTAAAAAGCTAAAAACAAGTCAGGTACTAAACTGAAAACAGGTGTAAAGAGTGGTTATTTTTGCAGGAGGGAATGGAAGGCTACATCAGGTCGCTAAAGACAGAAAAAAAAACCCAAAACAAAAACCAAAGAAAGAGAAGCATGCAGGTGACAGCAGGACCACAAAATGTACCCTACAATTTAGATTTGTAATCCTGTAGTACCTTATCCTAAGATGGGCCGTTTCTTTTGCCTGTCTTTAAAGGTGGACAGAAACATGGCGAGCTGTGATTATTAATATATATTGTTAAAACAGGCTTCTCCAAGTTCCTTCCAGGTTTATTCTTTTGTGACACAGTTTTCATGGGTTTATATTACAGTAAAAAGGGTTTATAACTGTAAACATAGCAATACTTTTTTTTTTTTACTAAAAGCTAAGAAACTAAGTAAAACCAGCTTTTGTACTAGTTTTGAATGTTCTGTATGGCCTTAGTATGTTCCATCTAGTTGAGTTCATATTATGCAATTGAATTTGTGCATAAATCTCTCTTGCTAGTATTTTGTAAGCCCTGTAAATTCTCTTATTCTTTTATGACATTAAATGTCACTGAAAAAGAACTGTATAGAAATGGTCATTTAAAAATACTGCGAAAATACCATTAAGATATTTTTATAGATCACAGTCGCCTGGTCTGCAACATTCAATTTTATTTCTCAGATTTAAGATTTCTATTTGTTCTGAATCCAGATGATAATTTTTTTAGGTTTTAAAAATGATTTTATCACAAACCTCTCATTTCCTGTAGTCACCCTAATCTGAAGTATCATTTATCTAATGGCTCACAGATGTGTGATGCCAAATTGTAACTGAGCTTACACAACATACTAAGTTAGGAAAAGAAATGCTTACAAAACATGTTTTCCTACATTTGCTGACATTTGCTGATACAGAACAGTATCTCAAATGTGTCACTTATTTGCCATAAATTAGTCACTCTTTCTTTGAGTTCAAAAAGAAGAACAAGATAAGGTCTCTCACTTAAAGACACCATTGTGTTGAAGTCTGTGTCGTAGGATCATGTGCTGTTTTGTCATGATTTTTACTGGCTCCTTCACCTCACTTTCTCTGACATTTGACCTAAAACCTTAGTCATTACTTAACCGCTTCTGTAATGATGTTTTGCTACATGATCAAGCCCATTAATTTACAGCTCATTATAGTTGTGGCCCATAAGTACTTCTAGTAAGTTGGTTTTCAGTGCTAGTAAAGCCCTAATTCTGTCATCATGTTATTAGTGTTGGAATGGCGTATACTGATGAATTTGGCTAATGTTGAACAAATTCCACAGCAGGAGCTTACAGCTTAAAATAGAAAATACTCTTTAGTACTAAAGTTCTTTGTGTCTCTGCGGACACGGAAATAAAAGCAAAACTTGCTGCTCTTCTCTAATTTTAGATGCATTCCGGAAAACCTGCAACCATGAAACTTGGCTAATATGCTGACTATAACACCACTGTGACGGACTTCAGGCAAACATGGCTGTTTTAATCCATTAACTCTTTACCAGTTCGATCTTCGCAGTCTTCCCCAGCAGCACAGCATTTGAGCATTATAGAAAGCTTGGTAAATATTCAAATAAAACACTCTGCCTGGCAGACTGGAACTATGATAAATTAACTGTTCCCACGAGTTTTGCAGACAAAGAATTTAAAGTGCTATGATTGCAGATGAAACAAAAGTGCTTTCAAAAAACATCAGGTTCTGCTGTGTTCTCTATTACATGAAATAATAATCAAACATCTTAATACAGGGCAGCCATTATAATACTTACAAAAACTCAATTGCCGACTCTCACAGAATTCTGCATACTGGACCGAGTCCATCATTCGTGTTTGTCTTTCTGCTCTCTGACAAAAGAGTAGAAGTACATCATGTACTTGTTCCAACAAGAACTTCATTCCACAAAAGAAATTACAGTGCCAAAGTGCCCCTGCCATAACCTTGAAGTAACCCTCCAAAATTAAACATGCATTGGCCAAGTTAAGATGCAGAAATATAAACCACAGGTTGGTTATTAGTCTTGTGAGTTAAATTTCCCAGAGGGACATGTCAATTCTTATTTTAAATATCTGCCTGTACACTGCTCACCTATGACAGACAGCGACAAGGGCTGAGACAGGAAACGTGCTGAGCACTCTTGCCCTGACCAAGGTGCGCATTTAAACTAAGGCACATGAGTAGACTGCCTACCACTGATGAAATTGAAATTGCAGAGTTATTTAATCTACTAGAAAACTAAAGAGCTGTTGATAAGCATATCTGAAGAGAGGGTACAACCAGCATTTGGCCTCAGCAGTTTCTCAAATAAAAAAAAAAAAAAAAAAAAAGAGAAAATTATTATTGCAAATACACTTTCTTCCTCTATTTTCTGCCTTTCAGGTCATTCTTCTATGACAGACCAATCCATTAGTTATGAGATCTTGTTGAGAGTCAACATGTTCAATTTAGTTGTAAACACCACCTGTGCAGGAACATACCTGGATATTCTTTCTTTCTTTTATTCTTTACCCAGTCAATCATCTCTACTGTACTTTTACTCATCAGGACAGAAACTGTTCTACTTGGGCATTTTTCAGTTCTCCTATGCATACTTCTGGCATCTTGACTATATTTTGTGGAGCTGCCATTTCAGATTAGTAAAAATTTTCAGTTAATCTATTCCATCAAGACATTAAGTAAGTCTAGATTGATTTTGCATCCTTTAAAAATAATTTTCATGATATATGCCATAACCTCAACCCTCACCTAACATAAGAGAGATCCGTTTTGTCTCTGTATTAATTCAGCCATACTTTTGAAGACAAAAGGCACCACCAGAATCATCTAATCTGAACTTCCGCACTGCACACGGCCCTTCTCACATAATACATTCTAGAAATGGCAGTCCTAGAATTTCTTGCGTAATTTTACCACACATTATAGAAAGGAATCTAATTTGGGTTTAATTTTTTCACATATTAACAGAGAACTCCTTCATGTAATTTAAAATGCTAACTTTTTATGCAATAGGGTTTACATTTCATAATCATTTATGCCTTTGTTTACCCGTGATAAATTAGTAGTTGGCTACTGCCAGGTAATACTGAAATTATTAACTCTAGGTGGGTAACCAAACACACTGAGCTTCTCTATGACAAGATTGTCTTGAATTTTACATGGAAATGTGGAGGCTTGCAGAACTGTTGCTTGATATGCCTTCCTAACAACACTCTCTCTAGAGATCTCTATTCCAACCTCCACCTTAAAGAGGTCTATTGCCAACACTAGATGAAGTGAGCTATGGCTTTCTCTAGCAAAGTATTGAAAACCTCCAAGGACAGACATTATATGTCTCCTCTGGGTAATCTGCTCTAGTGTTGAACTAGTAAAAAAGATTTCTAACATGCCACTTGAAACTACCAACAAGCAACAATTTGTGGTTGTTCCAACCTGCATTATTCTACCCAGTACTACTAAGAAAAATTTAGTTCTACGTTTGTTAATTTATGCTTGGCTTTTTTTATACTTCTGAACACCTACAGGAAAAGAAAGGGAGATAGACTAAATTAGAGGTCATTGAAGAAATAATAGCTTAAAATGTTCACGACCAGAATTAAGAATGTATTTCACACAGGTCTTAGGGTCAACCAAAAGAGTGTATCTCAAAAAAGTCAAGGTATGAAACCATAAGCATCATACACACCCTTCCCTCCATGTATACACTATGCCATAACTGAATTGTGGTTGAAGTAGCACTGAAGTTGATAGTTTGGTTTGAACACGTGCTTGAAGTTTGTTTACTTCAACAGAGCAGGTATGATTTTCACAAGGTAAGGATCTGGTCTCTAGAAAAGATTAAATCCTTCATGTATCAAAGGCAGGAAGAAGCAGTTAGATTAAAGAGAATGATTATCCTCTTCAGAAGCAGACTCAAGCCTCTCAAAGAAGAAAAGCAAATTGCCTTAAACATTAAGGAAACAAATATAGCTATCTTTCAAACAGTAATTCATTTAATAAATCATTACACCTGGTAAGAACAGAACCATAACTAAGGATACAAAGTGGTATCAGGAGACGCTGATGGCACCAGGACTACTTCTGCAGTGAGCCGATACAGCTGAAGAAACCATGCACAAAGAAGGTGAAGTATAGGTGTGCTCACATTAAGGACAGAAGTCGCCAAGGAAAAAACCCAACCACATACACACAAATTTTGCCATAACTCCCTGAGTTCCCTTACAAAAAATGAAACAAAAAAATACCAATCATCAAAGGTTTACTAAAAGAAAGGTGTGCTGAGGGATTTTCATTTCTGCTACAAATTGTCTACAGTAGTTGTCTAAATACAGGACTTAATTTTGTTCTTAATATACTAAATGAATGCTCAAACTTACTTTTTCTCTGTATGGATTTTTTCTTAATGTAGTAAAATTACCTGTGTACCTGTGAAAAAAAATTGCTTTTCCCCTCTAATTCTCCTCTCTAAAAGAAGTCTTTCTTACAGGTGGGTTCTACAGTGATGGGCTAAATCATTCTGAGATACAATAGCTTTTAAAATAAATACCTGTATTTTCTTCCTAATACACTTTAAAAGAACCCCCACATCATGGCATGGAAATGTACAGTTCAAGGTATAAGAATAGCCATTCCATCAGTCTTACCAGTTTTAGAACAGTCTATAAATAACCAGCAAATGCAGGCGAAATATACAAAGGTATATTATCTTTACGGAAATACCAAAGCAGAAGACAACAGCAGATCATCTTTCCTCTTCACTTTACAAGATTACAACCAGTAATCATTTTCTCTTACATTATCCCTGCTTTGGAAAAATTTAATGCTGCCTTGCATCTACATTTCTAAGGTATATTCTATAAACTGAAAATCAATCAATAACATGGGATAAAAAGGGAGAAGAAAGAGTGAGCATTTTACTGTGAACACAGTGTTTCTCCAGGCCAAAGGAGTTTAAAGGAAACAGCATTCAGTGATGGGAAATCACAGGAAGTTTGTGAAAATGCTATAAGCTGTAAGCAATGCTTTAAATCTTCAAAATACCCACTTGCTTTTTTTTTACAGTCATTTTTGAACTTTTTTTTCTTTCCATGAGAACAAGAAAGCACACAGGATGATTTAACTCAGAAATAATTTAGTTTTATACAAGTGAAATTTTCCAAATTCTATTCTTGGAAGGAACAGCAAATGACTCCAACAGGATTGAAGTCCTCTTTCATCAGTATAAAAGCAATTGGCTGGGAATCTTTCCTGCATGAAGAAACACTGACACCCCTAATGATATGCCTCCTTGAAGTAATCTTAGCTTGAAACCAGATACAATAAATAACATCAATGACACTGCTCTACTGGTTTATCAAAAGAATTAAAAACGTATTGTTTTTACTCCCTCTATAGTAGTACTAGTCAGTCTAAGAAGTTAAGAAGCTGAGTTATGTGGTGTACAGCAGAGTTAAAATACTTTGAATGCTTTCTTTGGAACATGCTGAAGGCTGCAGTAGATAGGACCTGGCACAGTAAATGTGTGCTTAGTCTTCAAAAAAATGTGTTGCATTATATCTTTCTTTCAGCATGAAGAACTAAAAAGGAAGACTAAAAAGAGAAAGGAAAGGCAGAGTTGCATGCTGTCACCTACCATCCAAGATGAAAAATAATCTTATTTTGATTCCAGTTTAAAGCTTTCACACTTGACATATAAAGCTCTTTGTGTGGGGGGAAGGCAAGAAGCCAAACGTTAACTTGCTTACCAACTCTTCTGCGTTTGAAGGAAATGTGCCGAGTAGCTGCTAAACTGGAACATTTGAAAAACGTATGCAGCATGGCTGGACACCCTGTGTTTGGCAACAATATTAATGATGAAGATGTTGGCTTCCCAAACTGCTTGAATATTAATATTGTGGCGTGACTTCCTGATTTCCTTTGCTAAAGACCTCTTCATTGTGCATCTATCACAGTGCCAAAGGAGGTAGGTGGCTACCCCAGGGAAAAATCAAAGTTGCCCTGCAATGATTGATATTACTAAAAGAATATGCTAAATATTCATTATTATTGTTATTATCATCATTATTTAGACTAGAGAATAACAGGGCACTGTATGCTGTACCAAAAAACCCCAAAAGTAATTTGAGGAATAAAATACAAGATAGCTCAATATTGAAGAGTTTACAAATATGCTGAAAATACAGTTTTACTCTTCTATATCTAGAAATCATCTGAGGATTATCACTATGTGAAGATTTTTGTTACATAAAGGAAAAATGTATTTACTCTTCTGAGAATCACTTGAATTAGTAAGCAAAGAAAAAAGGGTTTTAAGAGTAAGCATTTTCAAAGATCAAGCTTACTTAGAGTTTTGTACAGAAAATAAAAATGCCACTTGGGGAAAGATCAATAGCTTTTGTAATGTAATACCTGATTTGTCTATAAAGTACAGACATACAGGGGATTTTTATAATTTTTACCGACCCCTTATAGAACATACCATACATTCTGCAGTAACCATTAACCTGAACAAGTCTGCATAGCAAACTTGAGGCCTTTGATGTAGTACTGGTTTTGAGCGCTCGTGTGTTTAGTACAAAGTTCCCAATAATAGAAGAAAAAATGAGGTCTTTTTCTGTCAGACCAAGGTGATCCCCAGTTTAATGTATTTCACAGTTATAACTAGTAAGAACAGTTTTTCTTTTATCTCTACAGTATTATTAACCCCATTCCCCATGAATAAACAGTTTAAGACCTTAAGAACCTTAAAAACCTTAACTATTACACAGATGTTAAGGATCCACAACTGTAAATGACATGAAACTAAGCTGTGGATTATGACAAATATTAATTACACCTTTTTTAAATATAA